CTGCATATCATACAACCATTAACCAACATCCAAGATCTGTGAATATGTTGTGGTGCTGTTATTATTGAAATAATAAAATTGTAAAATCTCGTATTAAAATATTTAGTATTTTAGGTCCAAGGGATTCGGCGGACAAAAAAGTAAATTACTGCTATTGTGTGAATAATATGTAATCAATAACAAAGGAACTCTAGTCTGATTATTTTATTTTATTTTTTATTATTTGTATTTATTTATTTTATTTATCTGATTAATGAGTATTTTAAAACATAATATATTTTATTTATCTGTTTATTTCATTAGTGAGTATTTTAAAATGTGATATAATAAATTTTTTGATTTATCTGATTATTATTTTATTATTGAGTATTTTAAAACGTAATATTAAGTTACTAGTAATTATTTTTTAAAATCTGATTGCATTTTCCAGATTACATATAATCACTTACCGCCTAGCCCTATACCGCAGTAAACATGACACTTGTAATGGTTTATATGTTGATGCTGTTGTGTGCAGCTGGAGAACAGCGGTCTGCGAGAGCTGTTGGGAATCAGCCGCCAGGCGTTTCTGGTGCTGAAGAGGGACGACACGTCTGACAGCACATCTCTCTCGCCGCTGCTCTCCAGCACAGACGTCAGTCTGAGGAAGAGCTAAAGGCCGTCAGAGACTCTTGAGTTTACAAACCGTCGTTCAGAGCTGCCCTACAAATCCCACAATCCTCCATTACAGGGTCACACGCACTCACTGGGCAACCTGGATGTCCATCAGTCATTCCGCATGAGGGGTTTTGCAGGAAGGGCCTGTGGAATCTGTCAAACTTTCCATCTCTTTATCATCATGGCGCCAGTCTGGAAAAGTCAAATCGACTGATTCAGCCACATGAAAGCACAATCATTTTTGGAACAGTAAAATTGGCATATTGTGAATGATTACTTCACCTGACTTTGTAAAGGGAATGTCACAACGTGCCATTTGAATGAAAAAGCTTGTTTTCTTTTGTTTGTTTTTTGCTTGTGTTTGTAACTGTTTTATGTGGGTATGAGAGGAAGTAGCACTGAAAGTGATTAAAAGCATTGAATGAACTGGCTATGTCCTTCTCTAGTTTCATGTGCTGAGGGTATTGAATTTCAGCTACTCAACACTTCAGTTTTTACACCATCTTTAATTTAGTATTCTATTACGTTATTGCATGTAAATTTATATTGCATATAAAATGCATCGCAAATGCTGTTTCACATCGACTTTGAGCTAATAATTAAATAATTTAAACAAAATAATTTAAAATAAAAACAAGATTTTATTTTCTATAATTTTATATAACATGTAAACACATTTATAATTTTATTTTTACCATATTTTTATTCTTAGTTACATTTTATTTGAATTATGCAAAATCTAATGTGAAATGATTCGTTTCACAATCCAGTTATTTCCAGATGCATAAAATCAAGTCCCGCCTGACATTTCTCATCGTTTCACTCACAATTACGTCACAAAATGTATTGCAATTATATAATACTCTAATAAAACACTAATGATGGTCTGTCACATCAAAAGTTCACACATTTCTCACATTCAATAAAAGCAAAACCTCAGATCTCATTCTAATCGGTCTTGGAATAGAAAACAATATAATTTAGGTGTTATGGCACAAATGACAACTTTATTAAACATTTAATTATTTAGACAATCATTTACATTTCATACAAAACAGAAATAATGCATACTGCTAGCACTTAAAAACAATTTTAACATTACTGCATGTTGTAAATGCTTTAGAAAAAGTTTGCTTCTGTGAGAGACACAAAGATCGCATGAAGAAACCCTGAGAGGA